ATAGATATATATATAGATATATATAGATATATATAGATATATCTATATATATCTATATATATATCTATATATATAGATATAGATAGATAGATAGATAGATAGATATAGATATAGATAGATAGAAGCTGAGGTGTGTCGTTACCTTTCCACATCTTGGAGTCGTTGAGCATCAGCTGGTCCACCAGCGAGGAGTTTTCTCCCTCAGGTCCTCTCTGCAGACCCACCTGACACAGGATCCTTCTCAGACCATCTGAAACACAGCACAGAGAGAGAGGGCGTTCAGCCCCACTGCAGAGGAACCAGTCCCTCGCTCTTCACTGACTTCAAATTGCATCATTGATCCTCCTATCTAAAAGCTGCTGTTGTTTTTCACTAGCTTGTTAGAAGTTCTGCCCTACGGTGGGAGTTGGTTTCCAGAGTACGACTCTATGTAAACACTCACTAACAGAGGGTATATGGGTAATGAAGTCCAGACGTACCAGAGTACTGAATGATCTGCCCCAACCAGCTGAGAGCCTTCAGAGCGAAACACTGATGAGCAACAACAGACGAGTGCATCACCTCCACCCTGAGAGGCTTCGACTGACGACTGGTGTTTCTCTGACCACAGGAGAGAGAGAGGGAGACAGAGGGAGAGACACAGGGGTAGAGAGTTTTAAATCAAGTTTATTTGACCCCTCGACTATCCACAAACAACCAGATAATAATAGCAAACGGAGGCTGAATCCACGCTTTGCTGCCCTAACATACTATTAATGATATAATAATAATAATACGGTTAACCACTAGCGTTGCGGGGTAGCCAGGGTCAGATAACATTATTTAGCGTGGCTGGGTTGCAGCTGGCTGTATGCTAAATATGTTAGCAGTCAGGTCAATATGAAGGGAAGACACTCACCACTATAACAGACTTGGCCTGTTCACAGAACTGGAAATCTCCGTATCGCACTGACTTCCTGCCCTGCACACACACACAAACACACACACAGTATATAATGAGAGTACTACAGTATATAATGAGAGTACTGCAATATAATGAAGTACTGACGTCTCTGTCCACGGTGGTGGCGAAGCTGACAGCCTCTTTCTGACTGCAGTTGACCGCTTTCTGCAGCGTGTAGATAACCTGTTCATACGTGTGGACTTCATCATTGAACAACATGCAGTAGTAGGTGTCTCCTCTCGCCCTGAATACACAGAGTACACAGTATCAGTACATGCAGTACCACAGAATACAGAGTATCAGTACACGCAGTACTGGGACCCTGCTGCAGCATGATCTGGTCTGTGTGTACGTACGGGGGCTCCAGTCCTGCAGGTAGCTGGTCCTCCTGCTCCCAGGTCAGCATGTCCACAGCGTACCTCAGGATGATGGAGAAGATGCTGTAACTACGGGCAACCATATCAGCTGGAAGCTGAGCTACAGGATCCTGGAGGGACAAACAGTGCTTTAATAAATGTTAATTAATGTACAATACTGCAGAGTGATCATTAGTTCCCAACCTGGGGATCGACACAGTTTTATGGGGATTGTGAGGTGTAGGAGTTAAACATATAGACAGTAGGCCTACATCTCAGCATTTTGTTTATTTATGTAAATTAAACTAAAGTAAATTAATATTTATTAAAGTGTATATTATAAATGAAGCTGTGATCACAGTGTACACTGCCAGAGCTTCAGTCTCTGATCAACAGCCTCGTCCTGCATTAGAAACCAACCAAAGAGCTGAGCAAAGAACAATGAGAAGAAAACAGTGAATCTGCCAGAAAGAAGAATGATCAATGTAAAATATACTGAACATACAGCCAGTTTACTGACTGATAGAACAGGCTGGAACCAGTGCTCTATATGAAAAAAGACTAACTAACTTAACTTCTGTTTGACACTTTACAAATACAACTGAACTGTATATGTAACACTGCAGACAGAGAGACAGACAGACAGACAGACAGACAAACCCTGTCAGAATCTCCTTATTTCCTTCCCTACCTCATCCTTTACCCTCTTTATTTCATTAAGTCTTTCTTTACTGAGTTTCCTCCCTCCTTACCTCCTCCTTTCCTTCCTTCTATAAGTCCTCCTTTCTTTCTTTCTTTCTTTCTTTCTTTCTTTCTTTCTTTCTTTCTTTCTTTGTTTCTTTGTTTGTTTCTTTCTTTCTTTCCCTACCTCATCCTTTTCCTCTTCATTTCCTTATGTCCTTTAGTTTCCTGCTTCCTCATTTTCTTCTTTACCTTCTACTTAGTCCTCCTTTCTTTCTTTCCTCCCCTACCTCATCCTTTTCTCTCTTTATGTCCTCACTTAGTTTCATCCCTCTTTACCACCTCCTTACCTTTCCTTCTCTCCTTTCTTTCCTTTCCAACCTCAGAATTTTCCCTCTCAATTTCCTCCTTTACTTAGCTTCCTTATTTTCCTTCCTAACTTTCTTCTTTGCTTCCCTATCTCATTTTTTCCCTCTTTATGTCCTTTTTTAGTTTCCTCCTTCCTCCCCTCCTCTTTCTCTCCACTCACAGACTGATGCCTCCATTCTTCTTCTTAGCATTAGTATTAATGATGATGATGAGGAGGAGGAGGAGGATGAAGCTCACCTGACAGAACCCTCCGGGCCACTGCAGCGTGAACAGGATGCATTTCCAGGAGCAGAAAGGCTTCTTGTCGGAGCCATGTCGGCCATTTTTGTAGTCCTCCCAGTGTGCTTCCTGTGTGGTGGCGCAGTCAGGAAGCTGCAGCAGGAACAGAACCGCAGGACTCAGACTGAACAGCGGGGGCAGCACCGAGCGCCACATCTCCTAATGATCGGAACTGATCGAACACCAAACAGAGATCAATCAATCAATACAGCACCAACCAGACACAGACTGCTTAAAGGGGAACTTGGCAACTCTAGCCATTTCTTCGCTGGTTTTCACTTTTGTTATCGCATGTTTTCTCAACGAGCTCCCCCTACAGCTCTGGGACGTGTATTTCACAAACACTTCGTAAAAAAAACTC